CTGTCATGTCGGCACAAGCTGCCGCGCGAAGTCGCTTCATATACGGGGGTTGACAGCTGCAGCTGTGCATATAAAAAATATAAAAATTAAAAAAATTACACTATAGGATTTAAAGACACCCCTTGCAGTCTGGGATCAGGGAACAGGCCTGAACAAGATATGCGCAAAGGTACTGAGCATGTATATTGAAATAAAAATATTATAGCTGGATTGAATTGTGTATTTTCGAGCAATTTTAAAAACTAATTTCGAACGATTACAGTACAATCTCTCAAAATAACAAATTAATCATTCTTGCAATTGTCCTTCGCTAGAAAAGAAAGAAAATAAAACAAAAAGTTATGTGGCGGTGGCCAAGTCTTCAGGAGTCGGACTTATGACCCTAACTCAATGAGCCCCTTACCGACTTCCATATAGAACTCTTCTGGGACTCGGTACCCGGCCCACCACACCTCCTTCCCTGTCCATCCATGTAACTCGAAAGTCAGGCACCATAAAGGGAGGAAACGAGGTGGCACCCTAAGCCTTGCTGCCGAGTCAGCAAAAGAACCCCGTACCTATACGCAGATGCCAACCTGGACTTCGCAGACAGTCCCAACTTGTGAGTCAGCTTACCGACCGACCGAGCTAACTGCTGTTGGTAAATGACGACGGGAAATTAATACTCTTAAATGACAGAACCGCGGGCATCGAAAACCAAAACAATGTCACCAAGCGGGTTCGAACCCCTAACCCCCGGGTCCGCTGTCAGACAGCTTAACAACTAGGCTGTTTCAGTACGTGCTTTTCTCTTTGTGTTTAAAACATAATCCCTATTTCCGCAGTTGGAGAATTACTTTGTGTTTCAAAAGCTGCGCTAAAGATGCATTAGCATAATTGTGCTATACACATGAATGTTGTTACGTAACTCTTTTCTACAATCATTCTTATGTACAGAGTAGTTGACTATTCAGAGTCACTACGAGCAATTAACCTTACCAAGCTCGTCCTCATTCTGTCTCATCAATTATTGTTTCGCGTCGCGCGTCTTTCGGCCGGCACTGACATGTCGCTATGTTTGAGATAAAATCTAGCAAGTTTCCCCTACCTCATTATATTGATATCAAACTACTGACCCGTATACAGATTTTGACGAGGAAATTTTGTTTGTCTGATTCTAATTCAGCTCCCTTAGCTAGCTTGGGAAACTTTATCTTTTCTAGGGATTGATGCCATTATAATACGGCCAATATATGGTGCTTTTCAGGGCGATACATGTGCGACATTCTGAAAAAGTCACCCAAAACGGTAAATGCCACAAAAAAGGGCACAACTTCTTTTTTAAAAAGGGCACTTGTTCAAACAAAAAAGGCACTTCGTCAAAAAAGGGCACTCTTTACAAATTATTCGGGGGTAAGCCCGTTAAAAAAAGGGCATTTAAATGGAATAAGGCAGTCTTTAACCCACCCCCCCCCCCCTGGCTACGCCTATGACCCTAGATTGGTTGGTTAACCAAATTTGAGGTGACGTGCCTGTAAAAACAAGGTTGCATTGCCTATTGCGATACTGCATTCCTCGATAAAAATGCACAAATCCATACACGTTCAAGTTCATCACCGAATAATAACCCCGAAATCCATTTGAAAAAAATATCACCATAATTATTGACAATTCCCACGACAGCAAAGCTGGCTTAAACAACAACAAAATACATTGAAGAAACTTACCGATATGATGACCTGAAAAGTTCTGCCTCGGCACAGTAACACAAGACGATTTTTGAAGCGGAACTGCGTAGAAAGAACACTGATGTGGAAGTTTGGATCCGCCCGATCACGTGAACGGAAACAGCATTACTTCTGTAATATCGCCACCATACGTTCAATCTTTGTGCAGAAAATATAGGGCGCTCTATTCAGTACTGTCCAATAATTAGATGCCTATATACATATAGTACATTCATTAGATGTCTACGTTTCAGTCCACAGACATAATATGCACGCGCTGCCAATCTAGTCTTTTTATTCCATATTTACTACCAGCGGGATGCCGCGGCACCCCTGAGTTTTTAATTGTATGCTTTAAAAAAGTTCAAGTGAAAAAACGAAAGTTAAGAGTTGAAAACATCTTAGGCCTACGTAAACGAAAGCCTACATAGTTTGTGGAAAACAACGCTTAAAAGATAGTCGGTGGGCTTAGGGCCCATCTGCATTTTGGGGAACACTCTTTCAAACTCTCAGGATCACTTTTCGATACCTCAACAAGTGGCAGACTGATTTTTGCGAATACAGAGAGTGCTGTGGACCAAATCGTGTTTCATGATAAAAGGATGTGCTTGCTTTTTCACTGTTTTCTTAAGCTGAAGCTTCAACAGATTAGGTTTGCAACATTTTTCTTTGGATTTTGAGTGGTGCTATTATCGGACACAAACAAAATGCATGGAGAGCAAATGATCCTATATGCCTTTAAATATGACATGTTACAAAAACTATTCCCCATTTATTAAAAAAGCCTACAAATGAACGCGAGACAGTGACGTGTTGTGCTCAATATGATGCCCGTGACGAGGCTGTATTCATGCAATCACGCATGCGCGTTTTGAGGCCATGATGTGGCAAAATGGAAAATCTCAGCCTCATGCAACACTGGCTAATAGTCCAGCGGATATGTGAACAAATTGTGCACTTTTGCATTAAAATGTGAAACTTGGCACAGTATATTCATGCGAGAAAATGTTTTAGATGTAGAGCCGTCGCAAGTTTACCCTTTTAGGGGCGTGGCAGCCATGTTTAAAAGGGGGACTCATCATGCCCGCAATGAAAACGGTTATTCCTACTTGTCACAAAAGCAGGAAACTTCACAAAGACATAATTATATAGATTATAAGTGTGTATACTGTGGGAAAAACTCGTCAGTCGATAGACTTTACGCAACACCAGTCCTTGGAGTGTTATTTATACTTTCACATTTGCGGAATTCTTTCCTTTGATCGTAGAGGTCACACAACAAACCACCTCCATTCGATTATATTTTCCTTTTTTTCCCTTAAATTCAGACGTCGAACTCCCACGTGTTTGTTCAATAGCTTATCGCCACAGACATTGCCCGTACGTTAAGGCCGAATAAAAAAAAACATGTTTCTCGTCCGGGTTTTCGAAAAAAAGGAGGAAGCGGGGCTTTTTATTTTTTATTTAAAAATTTCCTGCAGTTGTTGGTGTTTCCACTGTTCAAAGACACTTTTAAAATGAAAGATAAGTTGGACAAAACAACTGAACATATTTACAGTGTCATTTAGAATTGTATTGGTCTACAATTTATTTTCGGATGAATTTGTGGATTGTTTCGTTGTTTTTTTACTGCATTTTTCAAAACTAAAAAATAATTAAAAGAATCCAGGCGGCCTCCGAAAAGGAAGCGGGTGGGGACGAGAAACTTTTTTTTTTTTTTTTACTTCGCCTAATGCCCGAGGGTACAGGGCATGATTATAGAACCGAAACGATTGCAAACAAAGGTCAACGTCAGGGTGTATGTATTTCGGGGGTTGGAATTGAACTACACGCATTTCAGTACATGCAGGCCCAGCACTTTTTGCGAACACAAAGAGACCGAAGAAAAAAATCATCAGCCTTCATCTAATACCAACGCAATACTACATGTATATTGCAAACTAAATTGACACTTGATATGTTGCCATTTGATTTGTAAGGAATCCTCCTGAATCATTTCAAATTCTCACCTAATGATAATGTTTTTATTTGTACTTTCAAGGTACATCAGGTCCTATGTAAAGAAACATTGACTGGGCCCAAGTTGATCATATTTATATCAAACAAGCAAGCAAACTGCCTCTTCATATTGAGATCACTAAAAAGATTTGGTTGTGATCATGAGGAAGTTTTGGTGATGAGCCCATGCAAGCTTATATGAAGTTCATGTTTGGTACATTCATGCATCTACATATTTTCATCTCTCTTATTACATGTATTTATACGTACCTCTGTGATTATATCAAAAATACACTAATACTAAAATGCCAATTTGACTGTTAATTAATAGTTTACATACATTTCTACTTCATTAAATGTTCAGCTTCTAGGCCTACAATTACACGCTATTAATCTAAAACTAACTTACTTTTATCCAAAATTGACATAGTCCATTATCAATTGTATACATGCATTTTTTTCCCAAGATAAACTCCTTGAAATGCTCAACGTCAAGTATTCTCCACAGATTTCACTTACACTTGCTATTTTCTCTAAAATGTTTTCAGGTGAGTTCACTCACACATTGTTTGTCAATGTAACAATGTACTTTATCGGTGTTTGAATCCCGTATGAATTTCTTTGGTGAGGTTTGCCTGCAACTCCATGATGATTCTGATATCTAGTTACTTTGTGGATCTGTTTAAACACAGGGGGTGAGGGTTGTATGTTTTGCCCTGTGCAGTGAACACACATTAATTCTTGGCCTTTGACAATGTTTGAGGAAACCAATGTGCTGTGTGTTCAGTTTGCAAGGGTCTCAGCTTTTGGTAAATATTTCAAAGTATTCATCAATGTATCCGAATTTCTGTCTTCATTAATTTAACCTCATTTTACATCTCAAATATGTGCCACGCTAAAATAAAAACTTGTTGCAAAAATTAATCTGTCAGTCGCAATTCAAATATTTCACGATCATAAACATCCATATTTTTATATACATGTAGAATCTGTGAATAATGTTATTAGTGTTATATTCATTACGAGCTTCTGTGGTACACTTTTTGTTTAACTGTCCATCCCCTAGCCACAAAACAAAATTTATTTCTTTATCAATTCAATATGACAAAATCTCTTACCTGAAGCTCTTACATGTAACTTCTTCACAAACTAAAAGCAAAAAGCAACAGTTCAAGAACAGGAGCTCATTCCATCTTTATATTATGTTATACTTGGTTAAGGATACCAATTGTAAGAGAACATTTTTAATCAGAAGATATACATGTACATGTAGGTGAATTTTCCATCCAGTATTCTTTAGTTTAGGTTATTCAAGACACCAGCTCTTCAGTCATTGACAAGTCTCCGTACTTCGCCACACAATTAAAGTCTACTGTTATGGTTGGCACAGCTGTCCCATGAAAAGAACTGCTCCGGATTTATTGTCATGTATAAAAAACAAGAATGGATGATCTGCCATGAATTGAAGAGGTCCAAAATCGCAAGACATCCACACAAGCCAAGAAGTAGCTGCTGCTGCCTCACTGCCTTCTTCGTTCACCGTTAAGGAAGCCTTGTCGATCACTTTGGATATGAAGACATCTTTGTCTCCTGTCATCCCTGAGAAGTCAGCCTTGGCAACATCAAATGGATCATTCATACCCATCTTCCTCAAGACATCTTTCAAGACAAAGTCCTGCTCCAGGTTAAACCTTGGAAGATACACCATGACTTTAGGGCTGTCACGCATACGAGCTTCTGTCACCCAGGAGTCAATCTTCTCTTGACTCAACTTCTTCTGCACATCAGCCAGCCCATCCACTTGATCAGGTAGCACAATGAACATGCTCACTTCATTCTTGAGGTAAGGTAGTTCCAGGATAGAACTGCTCACGGAATCGTCACGAGCGTAGTTGAACTTGCCTGTCTTGTGCATCATGGTAACATTCTTGTACCCACCCCCAGTACGGAACGTCCCATTAAAATTTGTGTCCTGATATCTAAACTTGGCAGCCCAATCTCCTTTGAAGTAGATAGTATTGACCAGCACCAAGCAAGTCATAGCATCGATAGATCCTGCAGCAAGTAAGTCTTTGATGCGGTTTGCAGTTTGCTTCTCCACCCAGGAGTTGATGTGTTGACGAGAACCTTCCCCATCACCAATGAAATCAAGTGTCTCCATACTGGCTCCGTAGTATTTCTTGCTGTCATCAACAAATGTCGCAAGGACATCCAAACCCTTCGGACCAAACAATCTGTTGGCAGTTACCAGAGTGCAAGGAATTGCAGCACGGAGATACGGATCCATCAGGTGAGCAAATAACTGACGAGGAACAGATTCTTCTGAACTGTTGGCGGGAGGAACTTGACTCATTTGGCTCGCTGTCTCACCACGTGGAACGTCAGCACGGAAAAACAGAGCACTCAGGTCAGCAAATGACTGATGGAGAACAGATTCTTCCAAGACGTTGAAGTGAAGTACTTGACTCATCTGGCTTGCTGTCTCACCACGTGCCCCCATGAAGGTCATAGCAAGTGCAGTTGAAATGCTCAGAGGAGAAAAGAAGATGTTGTTGTTAGAGCCTCCTCCCTCACTCAACACTCGGAAGAGATTAGATGCAAAGGTGTTACTAGCCTTGGCAGCATTTGGAGCCAGGCCGACATCTAAAACGTGGGTTGCCATGGTAACAGTAGATTGGGCTGGAAATGAGAATTGGAAAATAGAGAAGCCTATTATACCTGTTGTCCGTCAAAGATGTGAGTTAAGCATGAGATGTAAATTGGACATGGCGATGCAACGTTGAATAAATGCCTTCATAAATGATTATTCCTAATGGCGTTGAGATGAATCAACTGTGCGCAATTGCAGTTTGGCGCTTCAATCATGTGGTTTTTACCTCTATGGTTCAACCAAACGTTACTTTATACAAATGTCATTTCACATCTTGGGAATCTTCTTTTGGGGAAGGGACAGTAACAGAAAACACATTTTCTGACACAGAAAGCGATAGTAACTTTACTATGAATTTAAAATGGCAACAAAGAGTTCCAGTTTCATTTCAGAGTTTCCTGATATAAATTTGAAACACACTTCTTATTTTGGTTGGGACTAACAATACAGGGTGAGTCAAAACAAAAGTGACCACATTAGAAAAACAATATAAAAACAATATGTGGCTCGCTCCATTTTATAACAAAAAAAACACAGCCATAACGTACATGTTATTGACTAGTAACTGTGAAAATTTCATTCAATTTGCCTACTCTGTTTCCAAGTTACGTCTTTTTTTAATATAAAGATCACCAAACTCAGCTGTCCACCACTGATTATTCACCGTTCTGCAAACTGATGAATACCCATTATATACAATGAATGAATGGAGGAGAACTTACAAAGGAGAACATGCCAAAATCGACATTAACATTTCGGGAAAAAAATAGATGACATTTTCCCTATTTGTATTAAAAACACAAAATCTGACAGTAAAAACAATGTTTCAGTCTTGATTTAAATGAAGTTAAAATCTCATTTGTATTTGAATGCTTGTGTGTAATCTGTTCTCACTCAGCTAAACAGCATTCCATTGACAGCTATGAAAATGGGTTCTAAACATGCATAACGTCAGATAGAATGGATCAATTAAAAAAAAAACACCAATAAATAAGTATGAGTGGAAGAACATGCTCTTTAAGATATAATTCTTTGGTGTTTCTAATTTGTGTGCTTTTTATTTACAAAATCGTTAATTCCAGTCACTTTTTGACTCGCCCTTTTCACGTATGATAATCTCCTTTATTAGCATCGATAAGTTTAGTAGATCAGAACTTGGGAGTATAGCATGGATTGATAAAAGCCTTTTATGACTACACAGTGCAACATGTGGAAGGACATTGAAGATTTCAACAATCGCTTTCTTTTCCACACAGATTAACTTGTATAAAACTATCATGCACCTTCTAGCCTAACTGATTCTATAGAGTTTAATAACACTGGATTTATGCAACAAGTTTCAATAGCATGTTTACATCTACGCTCATCATTGTTTGCATATTAGTGTTGACTTTTCCCTAACGGTGCTAATAGAGGTAAACTTTGAAACGCACACTCAAGTCCGAAAATTTTGGAATCTCAATACTCCGCATGGCACACTTTTGACCCATCCTTTGTGCGATTCTCTAACAGCGCTTTCTCAGTTTCAAGGAAAGTTTCAACCCTTGAAACCCTTGAGTTCCGTGAAGCATAGCGTTTGTTCTAATGCATGGAAATGAATGAAATAAAGTTTGTATGGTAGATTGATAAATATCTGACTTTGAGAGGTAATTTAAAATTTTTCCAAAACTCACATGCAATATACCTTTATTAATTGGTCTTCGACTGTTAGGTTTTTGGTGGGACAGGCTGTAGCTTTTAGTGTGCACCTTTCAAACATAATCTGTACAGCAACTCCAGGGATTTGAATTTTGAGGATTGGGTTTCTTTAAGGGTACCCGTGTAACCGTGTTTTACTTCATAGGGTAGGCCTACCCAGTACTACCCGTGATTACACACCCCTATTGGTTGACGTGCCTGTAACAACAAGGTTGCATTGCCTATTGCAATACTGCAATCCTCGATAAAAATGCACAAATTCATACACGTTCAAGTTCATCACCGAATAATAACCCGGAAATCCACTGAAAAAATATCACCATATTGACAATTCCCACGACAGCAATATTGACATAAACAACAACAAAAAGGGGGGAAAATTAAGAAACTTACCGATATGATTACCTGAAAAGGTCTGCCTGGGCACAGTAACACAAGACGATTCTTGAAGCGGAACTGCGCAGAAAGAACACTGATGTGGAAGTTTGGATCCACCCGATCACGTGAACGGAATCAGCATTAGTTCTGTAATATCGCCACCATACGTTAAATCTTTGGTGCAAAAAAATTAGAGGGCGCTCTTTTCAGTTCTGCTTTAACTATTCAGTCCCAATAATTAGATACTTATATATATTTTTTAGATGTCTGTGTTCAGTCAACAGACATAATATGCACGCGCTGCCGATCTAGTCTTTATATTCCATATTTCCTACCAGCGGGATGCCGCGGCACCCCTGGGTGGAGTCGTCAAGTATGTATGTTGCGTGCTTAGAAAAGTGTAAATGAAAAAAAGAAAGTAAAGCCCCTGTCACACTTCGCGTATCCTAATTCCCTCTGAGTTCCTTATCAAAATTTTTCAATACGCAGCCGTACGCTCAAAACGTCGAACTTTTTTGAATACTTTGACTTATGTGCGACGCACATCTAGCGTACAAGTAACAAATTCAGCGCATCCATTGCGTATGAGATGCGTATGAGTTGCGTATGCAGTGCCCAACATTATTTTTCGGGCTGCGAATAGGTCAGTATGCAGTGTGCATTCTGAGCGTATTCCGGACGCACCCGACTTATGCCGACCGAATGCCTGACGCAATACGTCGGCATTCGCCATGAGTTCGTTCAGCGTGCGTTGTATCTACGCTGCAAGTACGCTTTGTATACGTCCAATATAGGCGGCTCATATGCTGACGGGGTGCGTGCCGGGAGGTCAGCGTATTACTGCGTATGAACAGGCTTATCCCCCACAAACACATAGCGTACTCGTACCGTGCTCGACCGATGCGGGACCGATGCGCTGCGTATTTATAACTTATGACCTGCGTAACAGCGTACGCAGCGTAGTTTTGTGCATGCCCAAAACTATCCGGCATACTGGGCCGTACCATGCGTATGCCTGCGTACATAAAACGATAGAGATGTGTATATGAGGTGCGTATTGTGCGTACGACTGCGTATGAAAAAAATGTCAATGCGCAACTCATAAGGAATTAGGATACGCAGAAGTGTGACAGGGCCCTTAAGCCCCTGTCACACCTTTGCGTATCCTAATTCCTTATGAGTTCCTTATCAAAAATTTTCAATACGCAGCCGTACGCTCAATTAACGACGAAATGTTTTGATCACTTTGACTTATGTGCGACGCACATCTAGCGTACAAGTAACGAATTCAGCGCATCCATTGCGTATGAGATGCGTATGAGTTCCGTATGCAGTGCACAACATTATTTTTCTGGCTGCGAATAGGTCAGTATGCAGTGCGCATGCCGAGCGTATTCCGGACGCACCTGACTTATGCCGACCGCATGCTTGACGCACTTCTGAGCGTATTCCCGCCGCACTTCCGCCGCTCGCCGTCCAGCGTGCGTTGCATCTGCGCTGCAAGTACGCTATGTATACGTCCAATACAGACGGCTCATATGCTGACGGGGTGCGTCACGAACACATAGCGTACTCGTAACGCACTCGACCGATGCGGGACCGATGCGCTGCGTATTTATAACTTATGACCTGCGTAACAGCGTACGCAGCGTAGTTTTGTGCATGCCCAAAACTATCCTGCGTACTGGGCCGTACCATGCGTATATCTGCGTACATAAAACCTACACAAAACGATAGAGATGCATATGAGGTGCGTATTGTGCGTACGACTGCGTATGAAAAAAATGTCAATGCGCAACTCATAAGGAATTAGGATACGCAGAAGTGTGACAGGGCCCATAAGAGTTGAAAATATCTCGCGTGAACGAAAGCCTAGATACTTTGTAGAAAACAATGCTTAAAAGATAGTCAGTGGGCTGAATTATTGTAGGGCCCATCTTTCTTTGTAGGGGAACACTCTTTAAAACTCTCAGGATCACTTTTTGATACCTCAACAAGTGGCAGACTGATTTTTGCGAATACAGAGAGTGCTGTGGACGAAATCGTGTTTCATGATAAAAAGATGTGCCTGCTTTATCACTGTTTTTCGAAATTTGTAATATCCACCACTGACCTGAAACTTCAACAGGTTAGGTTTTCAACATTTTTCTTTGCATTTTTAGTGGTGCTATTATCGGACTCAAACAAAATGCATCAAGAGAAAATGATCCTAGCAAAATTTTAAACTGAAATTTCACAGAAAGTGAAATTTCATCAAGTTCTAAACGGTCCTGTTCATAAATCGCGAGTTTATTTACCCGTAACAAAGTTAGAAGGAAAAGCTATTTTAGCGTGATTTTCCGATTTTATTTTCAAGTGCAAAGTGAACCCTTTGAAAATGCCCTGAAAAATAAGAAAATAATTTTCTGACAAACATTTGGCTGGGTATGTAAGTAAAGATATTAATTATTTATCAGAATTTATCAAGTTTACAGGAATTCGTAAGTGTTAATTTGGAATTTTCCAAGATTTATTCAAGTGCGCCACGTTAGGGAACACTCCGCCAATTTGTGCCCAATTTCCGGACACCACCGTTTTTGAATTTCGGATTAAATTTTATGAAACTGAAATTGTTCACAGAGGTTAAATAGCAAGCATTGATAAGGTAAAAGTACAAGTATTTCTTGCATGAATTTGAGGTTTATCAACAAAGAGGTTTGGCAACACTACACGAGGAAAGTCGGGTAAGCTTCGAAGTGCGCCACGTTAGGGAACACGACTATATGCCTTTAAATGTGACATGTTACAAAAAAAATCCCCATTATTATTAAAAACATACAAATAAACGCGAGGCATTACTGTGTTGTGCTCAATAATGATGCCTGTGACGAGGCTGTATTCATGCAATCACGCATGCGCGTTTTGATGCCGGGAAATTTATACTTTCAGACTTGCGG